ACAGTAATAAAGGCCCTCCCAACAAAGAAAAGCCCAGGACCAGATGGATTCACTGCTGAATTCTTTCAGACATTTAAAGAAGAACTAACTCCATTTCTTCTCAAACTATTCAGAACAATCAAAAAGAGGGAATCCTCCCAAATTCTTTCTATGAAGCCACCATCACCTTAATCCCTAAGCCAGAGAAAGATGCAGCATTGAAAGAAAATTACAGACCAATATCCATGATAAACATAGATGCAAAAATCCTCAATAAAATTCTCGCCAATAGAATACAACACATCAGAAAAATCATTCACCCAGACCAAGTGGGATTTATCCCTGGTATGCAGGGATAGTTCAATGTTCGCAAATCAATCAATGTGATATACCACATTAACAAACTGCAGAAGAAAAACCATATGATTATTTCAATAGATGCAGAGAAAGCATTCAATAAAATTCAACACTCTTTCATGATGAAAACTCTAAGCAAATTGCGTATAGAAGGAACATTCCTTAATACAGTCAAACAATTTATGAAAAACCAATGGCCAGCATCCTATTGAATGGGGAAAAGTTGGAAGCATTTCCACTGAGATCTGTTACCACACAGGGATGCCCACTCTAAGACTACTATTCAACATAGTTCTGTAAGTTTTAGCCAAAACCATCAGGCAAGAAAAAGAAATTAAAGGGATACAAATTGGGAAGGAAGAAGTCAAACAATCCCTCTCTGCAGATGATATGATTCTTTATTTAGGGGATCCAAAGAACTCTACTAAGAGACTATTGGAACTCATAGAAGAGTTTGGCAAAGTAGCAGGATATAAAATCAAGGCACAAAAATCAACAGCCCTTGTATACACAGGCAATACTATGGCTGAGAAAGAACTGCTAAGATCAATCCCATTCATAATAGCTACAGAAACAATCAAATACCTTGGAATAAACATAACCAAGGACGTTAAAGATCTCTACGATGAGAATTACAAAATCTTAAAGAAAGAAATAGAAGAGGATACCAAAAAATGGAAAAATCTTCCATGCTCATAGATTGGAAAAATCAACATCATCAAAATGTCCATTCTCCCAAAAGCAATTTATAGATTCAATGCAATACCAATCAAGATACCAAAGACATTATTCCAAGATCTAGAAAAAATGATGCTGAAACTCATATGGAGACACAGGAGACCTCGAATAGCTAAAGCAATTTTGAACAACAAAAACAAAGCCGGAGGAATCACAATACCAGATTTCAGGAAATACTACAGGGCAGTTGTAATCAAAACAGCATGGTACTGGTACAGAAACAGATGGATAGACCAATGGAACAGAATAGAAACACCAGAAATCAACGCAAACATCTACAGCCGACTTATATTTGATCAAGGATCTAAAACCAATTCCTGGAGCAAGGACAGTCTACTCAATAAATGATGCTGGGAAAACTGGATTTCCACGTGCAGAAGCATGAAGCAAGACCCCTACCTTACACCTTACACAAAAATCCACTCAACATGGATTAAAGACCTAAATCTACGACGTGACACCATCAAGTTATTAGAGAACATTGGAGAAACCCTGCAAGATATTAGCACCAGCAAAGACTTCTTGGAAAAGACCCCAGAGGCACAGGCAGTCAAAGCCAAAATCAACTATTGGGATTGCATCAAATTGAGAAGTTTCTGTACTGCAAAAGAAACAGTCAGGAGAGTGAAGAGACAACCGACAGAATGGGAAAAAATATTTGCAAACTCTGCTACACATAAAGGGTTAATAACCAAATCTACAAAGAGATCAAGAAACTCCACAACATCAAAACAAACAAACCCACTTAAGAGATGGGCCAAGGACCTCAATAGACATTTTTCAAAAGAGGAAATCCAAATGGCCAACAGGCCAACAGAAGGAGGTAGCCTTCTCTGAAGGGAGGAGAGAACTTCCACTTTGACTATGACCTTGTCCAAATATGATCAGAGTCGGCGAACTCAAAAGGCTTCCATAGCCTTGGCAACTCATGACAAGAGCCTAGGGTGATTACTGATGCCATAAACAAGAGTGTCAATTTGTAAAGTCAACAACAGGAGTCACTGTGCACTCACTCCTCATGTAGGGTCTCTGTCCTTAATGTGCTGTACATTGAGATTTAATGCTATAACTAGTACTCAAACAGTATTTTTCATTTTGTGTTTCTGTGTGGGTGCAAACTGTTGAAATCTTTACTTAATATATACTAAATTGATCTTCTGTATATAAAGAGAATTGAAAATGAATATTGATATGAATAGGATGGGAGAGGGAGCCGGAGAGGGGAGAGTTGTGGGTGGGAGGGAAGTTATGGGGGTGGGGAGGGGAAGTCATTGTAATCCATATTCTGTACTTTGGAAATTTATATTCATTAAATAAAAGTGGGGAAAAAAAAGGAAAAAAAAAAAAGCCTAAGAACCAGACAACTATTCTGGCCAGTATTTTCAACATGCCAGAAGAGAAACTTTCAATATGGGCAACTCTGACCTTACCCAGTTATATAATAAGTAGAAATTCATTTTGATATATACCCATTCCAAACAAAAGAACCTTGAAAAAGGCATATAGCTCCCTATGCTGGATCCAACTGCTTTTTTCTCAGAAAATCAATATAATTGATGAAAATGATCTAGTCAGAAAAATTTTAGCTGCAATTAAGAAAAAGAAGTTTCCCAAAACAAGTAAAATATTTTTTAAAAAATAAAAGGTGCTCTTCCAAACCCATTTAAGACATGCCACAAAGTCTTTTACTAGAATCACATATATAAATATCCTCTGCTCAAATATCCCAATAGACTGGTAGAAAACAAACAGACTCGAGATCATGAAGCAAGACTACAGTTCAAAGTTACAGGGTACCAAATGAAAAGAAGCATGGCTAGAACTTAGCCTTCTTAAAATTCCATGCTGTCTGCCTTCTCACAGCATGGCTTTTCCCAATGTTTGAATGCCAAGGCTGCCATCATAGATTCAAAGCTAGGAGATGAAAATATATTTTTTTTAAAAAAAGACCAATTTGAGTGTAATCACATTTCAGGATAACCCAAGGGGAAAGAGACAAGCGTGGAACACACACTGGATTGGGGGTCAGGTTTTCCCACTAACTCATGGTGCAAACTCATATGTTCAAGTCACTTTGTATCACTGTCTTCTCAGATCTTAAAGGCCCCTTCCTGTTGTCATTTCTAATGGTACTGTAAGATAATCAGGACCCAGAATGGTGAAATGTGGCTTCCAAGCATGGGACTTTGAGAGAAACAAAGACAAATTCTCAGGCCAGAAACCCAGGAGTCATATTAATTCCTCTCTTTCACCCACACAGAAGTGTCTGAAACCTTTCTTCAAGACACATGACACTGAATCACTTAGCATTCCACCACCCCTTTTCCTGCTCGGAGCTGGAGTCCTTCCCACAGTCTGCAGAGGCCACTGCATGGCTTCCCACTGCCTCTTCCTCCTCATCCCCTGATACTTTCTCCTTCCTTCACTGCCCTCCACCAGGTCTTTCTGTGCTCACCTGTGACAGCCACGTGGCCCCTCTCAGCCTATGCACTTGGCTCTTCTCATTTCTGAATTTCCTTCAGGAGGGCTCTGCTCAAATATCACTTCCTCAGAGAGGCCTTCCTAGACCACTCAATGAGAAGAGTAACCCCCCTCCACAACCCTGGCAGTTTCTATGCCTTCTAATTTTTTTTCATAGCACTGAATACTACCACGCAAAGCATTTTTGTCATCTCCAGTCTTCGCATGGGAATGAAATCCCAAGAGAATGAATCTGTGCTGATTGGCTATCCCAGGAAGGGGAAGTTCATTCAATTCCTGGAGTCTGGCAAGTGACCCTCCACTGCTTTCCAGGTGGGATTCAAATAACCCCACTCTCTTCCAGGCAAAGATGCTCTTTCCCGACTTCTGTACAAATCATTCTCTTCCAAAGCTGAACAGTAAGTGCCCCTTCCACTTACTGGGCCCTTGATATTTCAGAAAAGAGCACTTATAATGAAACAACCTTGGTAAGGATTTTTGGCAGTGAGTGAAAAAACACTGACGTCAGTAGAGTGATTCTCGTCAAAGCTGTGTTCAAGTCTCTCAACAAATTGGGCTATACGTGTCATTTGTGATCACTGGAGCTACTTGGCTTAAGTTTTTCAGGCTGGGAGTGTGGCAATGAGTTAGGCAAGCCACAGGCGCCAAGTGGTTAATTATATTTCCATTACTAATTGCATGCAGCACTATAGTATCTTCTCACAGTGAAACGGAATCTCAGCCATTTGAGTTCTCCCAGTTTCCCTTTCAGTTCTCCCGAGGTCAGTGAGCTCCCTGCTGGCTAAGAGGACCACTCGACTCTATTAACCCCATTCTTTTACAATTATAAGGAAGCTGTTTCCAGGCTTTGGGAAAGAGTTTTTCTTCTTTACACTTCTGTCTCAACTGACCATTTATAACCTGAGCTTTCTTCGGTTCTCATTTCCCCAATTTGTCTAAACTAAACCTGGAAGGCAGAAAAACACTGGCTGGCTCTCTGAGTGATTCGTTCAGCAAGCTCTCTTCCCCACATACTCCTATCATCTGAATGGAACCATTAAACTTCATTAGGACAGCAGACAGGAGGTTCTGGCACAGCAGTCATGTAGTAATTAAAATATCATGAGGCAGTAACAACAGGGCCCGTGCCTGAGAAAATCTGCCTACCTAAAGCATCCGCCTTCCCTAATCATCCAGGCATGGAAAAGTCTTTCTCTCAATGTTGTACAGACCTGACTGCAAACTGGCCCCAAACTCAAGACCTCATGAGACCATGAAGCCAGGTCACTAGTCTTTCATGCCGCAGATACAGAAGAGGAAACACATTCAGCTCATATGAGAAGTGGGAAAGGATCCTCTTTAATGAAGAAGATTATGGGAAATGGTGCAGTGTTTTGTTCATTGACTTCAACAGTATTCTCTGGCAGTATCCCTTGGTTCCCACCACGCTGCTCTCCCAGCCTCACCGACAGATGTCCACCAGCTGGTCCAGCTCAGGACAGCTGCACTCGTACATGTCCCTGCAGCTCCTGTGGCTCTGGTTCATCAACTCTCCCAGCTGCTGGACCACGTTGTCAGGTGCTTCTTCACATATCTTCTTAAACTGAAGCACTCGTGCAGCCTCACTGTATACGTGCTTTGCACGTTGGTAGAGTTTGAAGATGGGCACTGAGGGAGGAAGGGCATTAGAAGGAAGTTAAAAATGGTTTACTGGACAGCCCAATACAAAGAAAAATATAGTTTTGAGGGCTTCCATTTTTGCCTTCATTATCAATATCTTAGACTTCAAATAGTTTTCTATTTCACTGAAAGAATGCTTTCTACCCAAAATTTGTGTTTGCAAGTAGGTTTTACTTTATTCTTGATTGTGAATCAAATCTTATAACTGTATTTTCTTCAGTCTTTCCAACCCACCCAGATGGGTGCATGCATACGCATGCAAACTAAACCATCCCACAGGAGGGAAGAGGGTTACGTGTGTGGAGCACTCCCTACCTGTCAGATCCTTCAAGCACTACCTAATGTAGTTCTCATAGCAGCGGGTGACGCGCAGCAGGATCCTTGCTCAACAGACAGAGACTGAAGCTGAGAAAAGCAGAGTGAGTTGCCAGGGGTCCCACATCCAGAAAGTGGCAGAAGCAGAACAGATGAGGGGTGTCTGGCCCCAGAGCCATGTTCTTTCCTCTGGGTCCACCAGAAAGGAGCACTGAAACTGCTTGTGCTGGCAACGATGCACCCATGTGTGCTATAGCATTCCTTATCATAGAAGAAAATAAGAGCCCAATGTCCGGTAAGAGGAGGCTTTAAAAAAATTACACTATAACCATCAAAAACCTGAAACTCAGTTCTAAGGCAATTTCTTCCTGATTGGGTTGTGAAATAACACTTAAAACTATGTACAACTGACACCAATTTTGCATACACATATAGACATATTTATGTATATTTTTTAATGACAAGAAGGCACCAAAATTTCATCAGTAGGTCTCTCTGTAGTCCAGTATGGGTGATTTCTTGGTCTTTATCACACCTTTCTGCACTTTCCATATTATTCACAAAGACTGTGCTACACAATTGTATTTTCAGTTACAGAAATTTGTCCTAAGCAATAGTTGTGTCTTTTCTGCTTACACATTCCCTTGAATAACATCTGACATCCTCACCGTTGTCAGCCAAGCTGAACAGTGACTGAGCTGGTAGGTGTGGTAGGTCTGGGAAAGCTGTGGGGAAAAATGTATGGGATTTACCTGGCCTGGTGGAAAAAGCCAGGGCTAAGACCCAAAAGACCTGTCATTTCTTATCAACTCTGTGACAACTAGCTATCACACACGTTGCTATCTCTACAGAGCATTTCCTTGTGTCTAAAATGAAGTTGAGAATGACTTCCCAGTGTCCTTCCAACTCCAACATTTTACAGTTCTATGAAGAACTTTCTCCGAGCATAATCCCTCAACATTTCCCCCATTTTGTTATCCTTTGTAAAGAGGATGCTAACTATGACTATGACCTTTCTGGTTGCAATTCGGGTTCTGCATTCTGCCCTTCTCTACCCTGCTGTGTGCATCCAGACGCTGACCTATATAAACTACTTCAATGAGTTCCTTTGCTGTCTAGAGCAGAGCAGAGGAGAAGATCAGCAAACAACGGGAGGAGAGACAGTAAAGTCAGACGATTGATTTCCTGGCTTCCCTCTTGCAGAGCCAGCTAGACTTGAACATCCAGGACACCATGCATCCTTCAAGGCTGCCTTTTCTGCATGACTGTCTCCTGCATCTGCCTCCATGTTGCTTTCCCAGGAACTATGACTACTTTTTCAGAAGTACTTTCACGTTTCTAGTTATGAGCCAATAAATCCTGTTAAAGTTTCATGTTGTCTTTGTAGTTTCCACTGTGCAGCACTGCCCCCATAACTCTCAGAAGTAGAGGAAAAGGCGGTCAGGGTTAGAGGAAGTGAATAGTCACTTGTTACAAACTGCATGTTTCTGTCTCCTCAAACTTCATGTGTGGAAATCCTAATCCCCAGAGGGGAGGTATTAGGAGGCGGAGCCTGTGGGGGTAATTAGGTTTAATGAGGTCATAAAAGTACAGACCCATGAAGGAACTGGGTGTCCTTATAAGAAAAGAAGAGACCAAAGCTCACTTTGTCCACCATAGAAGGACACAAGGGGAAGACAGCCATCTGTAAACCAGGAAGAGGACCTTCCCCAGACACCAGATCTGCTAGGACCTTGATCTGGGACATCCAAGCCTCCAGCACTTTGAAAATAAATTTCTGTTGTGTAAGACACCAAGTCTATGTCATTTTTGTTAGAGCAGCCCAAACTGACAAAGACATTATTTTTGGTATTTGTGAGGCCAAACTTCCCATAAATTAATAATGAAGAATTAAAATTTTTTTCAGAGGTTCTCAATTGAGTCATATGAGATATATTAAACTTACAGTTAACCATTTTCATGAAATGATGCAGATTTGTGTGAATTTTCCTATTGTTCTTTTTTTAATTTTTATTAATATAAAGAGAACAGATTTCAAGTATTTCATAGGTACAATTCCAAGAAGAGAACCATACTTACCTCCCTCCTTTTTTCCCCTCCCGCAGTCCCTCTCCTTCCTTCCTTTTTTTTTAATTTGTGCAAAAATAATTTCAGTCCACTATAAATTATAGGCTTAAATGCAGCACTAACCAGAGGACTTGTATTCAGTCATGTGACTGGTTCTTCTTTCCCAGTGTGTCTTGCAGCCATCCCCCACTCCTATTCCCTCTGTCATTATCCAAATTTCCAATTTTATTCTCTTTTCCACCTGGACTATTTTGCAGCAAGCTCTGAATTTATATTCCCCTCTTGATCACTCCTCCCTGTGACCTACATTTGATCAACACTCACAGACTGCCAACAACAGATGTGAATTTAAAATTCAAATAATAATAATAATGACAGGAGTTACAAGTGAAATGTAGGTGGGAACAAAAGTACAACAACATGTTTTGTCCCATCGGTAGCCAGGTCATGTGAATCAGCCCACACTGTAATGTGAATTTATTATTCCCATCATTTAGTTCTCTTCAAATGGGAATGTGATTCATTTTAGGGTCTGAGTGTCAAAATATCCCAAGGGGAAACATGTCTTACCAATACCCCATACTGGCAATACACCGTCTTCAAAACCCACTGTCTGAAGGAGCAACACAGGAGCATGTAGCAACTTCTCAAAATCTCTCAATGGGAAAGGGAAAAGAAGGGCAACTGGTGGCCATGTACATGCCTGAGACAGCACTAATCATTTCATACCTGTTCTTGTAATTCAGGTTGTATGATTCGCATTTTGAAAGCAAAGAAAGTGACTTTGGTAACTGTGGCTTAAGATTGTTCTTTTTTAAAAATTTGAGGTTGAAACAAAAGTTTAAATACCATGACCCCGTATGTTTCAGTTTTACTTTTGAACTACTTTACCTCCCATAATCATATATGAAGTTTAAAGTTCCCAGCATGGAGAAGAGGAGGAGAAAGCAGAGTTGTTTTGTTTTTCCTGTAAAGTACAGAGGATTAAAAATCACCTGATTTCCAAGTCCACTGCTATTTATGGCTGCAGCACAAAAGGTACACGAAAGTGGCGTCGACTATGATAATAAAGCAGTGCTATTTAGCTGACAAGTCAGGCTAGTATGCTCTGATGTGCAAAGGTTTCTTTTAACAAAAAATTTAAAACATATGGGAAAGTAGAGAAAATGCTATAATAAACCCCATAAGCCCATCATCTATAATGAACAACTATTAATATTCCCCATTTGTGCTTTGATTGATATCTTGCTGAAGTATTTTTAAATAAATTATAGATACACATATCTCCACTTACATATTTCAGCATACATCTCTATAAAACAGAAATATTTTCCCTATATTACCACCATATAATTATCACACTTAACAGAATCACCAATGATCCATTAATATCTTATATCCAGTCCATATCTAAATTTTCCCTGTTGTCCTCCAGTTTAAATTTCAGTTGGTTTATACCCAAGGTCCACACATTATATTCAGTTGTTATATCTAATAGGTTTATTTTAATCAACAATTTATAATCATTTTTGGCACTCTGGATTCTCAGTATCATATCCAAGTACATTTCAGTGCCATATCCTGCAATAAAACTCAATATACTCTGAGAAATATGCTTTGGTTTTCCTTTAGGATTACATATTTATTTAGGATTAAATGTTCTCAAGTATAAATTGTCCAGAGAGATGTTTCCTATTAAACCTTAGGGTTGGTGCTTTGATTTGTGACAAGAAACATTCTAAATGCGTCAAGCATATTACCAGAACCTCTCGATCCTCGCACTTTCTGGCGTCTATTCTGTTTGTAGAGGAAGCATTTCACATCAGGACTCCTGAAGAGGAATGCCTAACGAGGACTCTCACTGGGCAAACTGAAGGTGCATTTGAGACTGCCATAGCTCACACCCTCTGAACAGTAGTAACTCCGAAAACAAGGCGAGGGCAGAAAGGGCATCTGTTTTCAATTGTGATACAAAGATCTTGCCAAAGGCTACAAGAGATTTGGAGACCACCCTTTGGGAGAGAAAGCAGTTTTGTGCTGGCTGGATATCATAAATGCTCTCTGGATCCAGGGTTCTGGCTCGTTATGTGCTGGCAACTCATCAGGTCTCTGTGCTCCAGATAAAAAAAAAAAAAAAGAAAAAAGAAAATCTGAAACTTTGTTTGGAACAGTTTTCTTCCCTGTCCAGTTAACTGTATAATTAGATGTTCCATCGGCCTATAAGCTCTTGCAATCCGTGAGAGCAATTATTATATTAAAGGATGGAGGAAGCTGTTTCTTACTAAGTTCACTACATGTAGGATTACTTCCAAGGCACATTCAATTTGAGAATATAATGCTAGATGCTGTTTTCCTACGAGACCACTAGTGGCCTAACCTATCCATGGGAAATCCAGGGCTTCAAAGCAAGATATGCCACATGGACTTTGGAACATTGTTTTTCTCTAGCATGAATCTTCAAGGATTATTGAATCTAATCCTGAAACCATGACACATTGACTCCAATCTGAAACCTAAAAGTTCGTGGCAATACACACTGAAACTGCAGAATAAATATTTCATTTTGCTATTGAATAATTTCTATTTTTATATAAGCTCTGTTTGCT